AAATAAATATTAAAGTCTACATAAATAATCTATCAAAATAAAAGATAATATTATGCTTATCAACTATAAACTCCATTATTTAGGAATTGCAAAAATATTTCATAATATTGTATTTATTTTGAGTGTATATGTGTTTGTTGTATAAATAAACAATCAAACAATTTTAATATTTAATTATTTTGTATTTATTACTAATGAATGATAGTAATATGGATGGAACCTGCACAATATGTGGAGATAAAGCGCAAGGTACTTTAATTATTTTAGAAATTATTTAACCAAATCTACATGTAACATTTATGTTATTTCTAGGTTATAATTTCAATGCCATAACCTGTGCCTCATGTAAACAATTCTTTAGGCGAAATGTCATCAAATATAAAGTAATTATATTTTTAATGAATTGTTCAATTAATTATAACCAGCAAATTATTAATTAACATGAATTGCCCGCATATTATATAGCAATTGAAGTGTTGTTTCTCACAAAACTGTGAAATCAATGTTAAAACACGGAATCAATGCAAGAGATGTCGACTCCATAAATGCATTTCAATGGAAATGAAAAAAGTTTGTATTCTGTGGCAAAAAACTTGTTAAATAATATTTGAATGAATTAATTAATTTATTTATTAATTATACACAGAATCGCGTAAAAAATTTGGACGAAATTGAAAACACATATAAAAAGCGATTAGAAATGAGAGGCCAATGTATTGAGAATAATGTCTCACATAATGTTAATACGATAGACTCGACCACAACATTGAGTGACAATAATTTAGATCAAAGTATCTGTACTTATGGCACAAACATTATATTAGAAAATTCAAACAATTTCACAGACAATGAGATTAATTTACAACTAAATCATGTCTCATGTGAAGACCATATACTACAACCCGTGGATCAGGAGCTCTCACTCATACCAACCCTCCCAAACTACACGTCCTTTACCCAAGAATACTGGATATCATATAATAAGTTATTACCACAAATCACGGACCTGGATATGTTGGTAGTCATACCAAAGGATGAATACTTGTCAGTCGACCGTCCCCTCCAAGACTACAGAAACCAATTCAATGAATTAGAGGGCAATAAGTTATGTGAACTATACTCAGCCCTTTCCATATTCAACGAGGCTATCATACCGGCCACACCACAAATCCTCACACAATATGACCACACATTTGATGTGGTATTAAGTAAATTGGAGAAACAATTGACAGCATTGACACAAATAGGACAGCATTTGCAAGGGTTTGCCGGGTTGTGTCAAAATGATAAGGTCTGCCTCATTAAGTACGGGTGCCTTGATATGAGTTACTTGGGATCCATTCCCTACTTTGACAGCACCCGCAGTCGATGGACATTCCCTACGGTATACTTATATAATGATCGCGAGAATTAGAATTTATTTAAATTAATTTTTTAGGACAAATCAAACACTTTTATAATGAGTTTAAATGCGAGGCATGGGATGGCTAATGAAAACCTACTGAAATGGGTTTTTGATAGCATTTCCGTTGAATGGGATTCCGATCCACAAATACTTAGACTGGTATGTAGTGTCAAATAATGTAGATAGTTATTATAATTTATTAATTATAATGTTTAGTTGACAGCAATTATGCTTTTCAATGCGGATCGTCCTATGCTTGCGCACAGGGATGCTGTTCAGTAAGCGATTGATATGTTTAAAATAATTATGAAATTTATATTTTGTCTATTAATTGATTTGATGGTTAGTTATCAACAACACGTATACATGTATTTACTGAAACGCTATTTACTATTGAAATATCGCACGGAATATGAATCGGAAGTAAAATATAAGAAACTTTTGAAACTATTAACTGATTTACAAAAGTTGGGACAAATGCAACGCCAGGTCTTTATAACAAACTCGTGGAAAGTGAAGCAAAATATATTTCACGAGATTTTTAGTTGAAACTATTATTTAAAAATAAATAATTTTTATATAGTATTGTATATTTGTTTATTAAAGTTAATTTTGTAAAATAGTTAAATTCTACCTTTAATCTTCAATTATTATTGTTATTTTAATTATTTAGTCAACCTTTAGCCTGGGTCACCTATTTATTGCCATGTGATAATAAGGTAAACAAGTTCGTTAAATTATTTGATAAAGCTAATCTATCACATGAAATCGTTATCAAATAAATTATTTGTGAATAATATTTCCAAAATAAATGGTCAGTGAAAAGCATTTTACACTGTATTGAATTTAAGCTAAGTGAAAGTATAAAGTTATTTGAAATTGTATCAAAATGAATGAAATGAAAAGTAAATTTACTAAACTGTATGAATTACTTAATTTATGTCAAAGTTTAGATAAAATTAAGTCTTTTATTGCGCAAAATGCAAGTGTTTTGTGTGAAGGGATTGAATGCGAAAATGCAGTCAATTTGTCAATGAATTGCAATTCAATTGATTTGAATTCATGTAAAATAAGTGATAATATTTGGTCATCCAATTATAAAAACATTCATAAATTGGGTCCGTATTACCCATGTCTTTGGTCTGATTGTCAATATATAGCGGTTTCGAAAAGTGTGTTAATTAGACACCGAATCATACATTCGGATGAAAAACAATTCAAATGTGATTTCAATGATTGTGGAAAACTTTTTAAATATAAACATTACCTGAGTAAACATAAAAATGCCATTCATTTGACATCAGATGTAAAGTTTATATGCGATTGGAGTGAATGTAACAAACAGTTTAAATTAAAAGAGCTATTAAAACGACATAAAACTGCTGTTCACTTGAAAATCAAACCATTTAAATGTAATGAACAAAATTGCGGCAAAAGTTATTCCGGGAAATCAAATCTAGTAAACCACAAACGCCTACATACGGGAGAAAAGCCTTTTGCGTGCGAATGGGTTGACTGTAATAAGAGTTTTACCCAA